GTGTCCTTTGTTGTTTGTGTGCATAGTTAAAAGTGAGATATGTGTGAGAGTGTAAGTCGTAGGGGACGGCAGGAGGTAAATTTCCGTGTTGATGGGTGCACTGGGGCGCTCAACGTTCAGACTGATCTATTGTCATCAGCCGACCGCAGTAAGGTGTGGTTCGAAGCATTCTGGAACACCAGCCAACGTGATCAATTGTGCTTTGAAGCAGCCTGGTCCCACCGTGAAAAGGATCGACCTCTGCATCTGACACATGGCCCCACCTTGGGGAATTCAAGTGAAACCCCATGTCGAGTGTACTGGTAGGCTGTCATGAGGATGAGGATGTTTTGTCACCTCTCTGTTCATTGATACAGTATATATACATGAGACCTCACAAGTATTTTCTTTTGAGTATGAAAATCATAACAACAAGTAAATCCTATGCAGTATCACTGCCCACAGTACCAAACCGGCCAAGCACTCGTTGTTCGGAAAAGATACTGAAAAAGTCCTGAAGTGTTGCTTTGAGGATGTGCTGAGCTTGTTATGTGTATGGACAAGGGGACAGGATTAGTGCCATTCTAGTACCATAAGAGAACATTCTGAGGGCGTCATATTGTCCCCACGGAGGCATACTCAGGACGTCCTGAGGTTGTGTTTGTGTTGTCTGGGAGATAACACCGCTGTCTCTTAAATTCAAGCAGCCCTGCCCGGTGGTCTAGTGGCTAAGGTACTCGACTGCTGACCGCAGGTCGCGGGTTCGATTCCGGCTGCGGCGGCTGCATTTCCAAAGGAGGCGGAAATGTTGTAGGCCCGTGTGCTCAGATTTGTGTGCACGTTAAATTATCAGTTGATCTTCACTGTATTGCACTGGTACTTGTCTAATCTTTCCTAGGTTCCTCACGTATGACTGCAGTATATACGGTGCCACTTCAACACCAGCAACATGTGATAACTCAAGAAGTGTGGAGGATGCAGTAACTGTAGAGACACTTAAGGAGAAGTGGCCATCTATGTTGACACGGAACGACTCCACTTTCTTTTTAGCAGCAGATACTACTACACTGGCCAGTTTGTTCGGATTGACTTTCTAGAACGAGGCGCTAGGGTCTGTCAGCTTGAAAATTACGAGTATCCTCCCTGGTCGGGCTTTCTTGTACGTGACTGTTGTGAAAGGCCTGTCTTCTGCTTCTACATCACAGTTCATTTCAGCGGAGTCGATGATTCTGCATCGCTGTAATCCTCTTGATTATCAGGTCGCGCCTTCTTCGGAGTAACACACTCGTCGTCGGCGTTAGGTGTCGTCGAGGGGCCGTCACAGTCCTCCTCGGGTCCGCGAAACACGTGATTATCTTGCTGTTCGGACGCATTCATCACTTCGTCTTCATCTGATGGGCGCCAAGAAGAATGGTCGCCACCAGTAGCCGAAGCTTTTGGACGTCGTGGCAGCCTAACATAAGGCTTCGGCGCCTTGGAGACGTGGCGCCTGGTGCACCGCGAAGTTGGTGGCTGAATCTTGGCAGTAAGATGCAGAAGACGAGCAAGAAAACTTACAAAATTGGCGAAAAAACAGCAGCGCTAGGAAACTCCCGCCCAGCGATTCTTCACTTCGTCTTCTTTCTCCCTTCTGTGTCTTTATTAGTTTGTTTCTAATGATACAAGTTAGCGCCATCTACCAGTCTCTTCTGTGTCTTTATTAGTTTCTTTCTAATGGTACAAGTTAGCGCCATCTACCGGTGCTAGATGATAGTCATGAGGGCAGATATTGACGACCACGTAACGATCACTACGGTAACAGTGTGGAATTCAGAAACTCAGGTTAAACTTCTAAATGTGTTGACTAATTAGATTGCTTTAATATATAAACTGAGATTTTATGTTACTGCTTCTCTAAAATATGCCTTCATCATCGAAATGAGGCAGGCCCTGTTGGAAAAGCTGGTTAGGAGTTCCAACCAGGTTGCACTGGTTATTGCGTATCGGCTTTGCGCTACATATGCTTTGCGCAATGCACATTCAAAGGTTTCGGATGAAACAGCATTCACTCGATTTGGACAGCTTAATTAGTAATGTGAGTGGAACGCTTACCGTACCTCAACGCGTAACTATCGTTAACAGCGTGGATGCTTTCTAATTAAGCATTCTAATAAGCAGTATTTATATTACAGAGGATATATTGTGCCGATGATCTCGATTTCTGTTGTCTGACGTGCTACGTATGCCTACTTCTTTTGGCTGCAGCGTGTCAAATTATGATATGAGCTACTGCCAAACATGCAATGACTACTCTTTTTCTTTAGTGCAGCTGTAACCACTCCCACAAAGTAGAACTTACGGCACATGGTTAAGGCAGACGGGCCGCATTTTAAAACAGTGATAGCGTCGCGTGCGCCGGGTTCGTTATGTGTTCACGACACACTGTGATAGCACGCTGTAGATGGCAGCCAGAGTGTGTGTAATGTATTCCCTCTGTCATTGTCGTCGTCGCGCCTCACTTCTCAAAATGCAGAACCATTATCCTATCGATATATAATCTTGCTACACGGGTGGTATGATCGTTGAAGAATGTTCGAGTGCAGATGTTGCTATCGGTGGCTGTTGTGGTGGCGGATGATGACCCACGGGCCGTTCTCAGGTGTCGACACCATCGCACGTGAATTTATCTGCATTTCGCCCTGTGAGCAGTAAAAAAAAAAAAAACAGGGTAAAACTGTCAGAACATTGTCTCGCTTGGCTGCAATACATTGAGTTATTAAAGCAAGAGTATAACTTGGGTTATTCAGCGAGCATATCTTCGCTTGAAAGCTATCGCGGGAAAACTCCTGACATTGCCCTAAACGACAACTGTATAAAGCTCTCACATTTACACAGCATAACAAGTGCGTCGTCAAAATTGACATCGTAGGTTTGATTTCGCACTTTACGGCCTCGTTGGGATTGCAACCTAGATATTGCGGGATACCAGAGCCTTCGAGATCGCGTATTTTGCACAGCATTTTTTATTGTCGTGCATGCCGACACTTTTCTAGCCTTTGCTTCTATGATAGCAGTGCTGGGCCTTTTGAAACCTGTTGTCCAGGTAGTTGGAAACTCGTCATGTTGTAAGTACTTTAGCGCGATGTAGGAAGCGCTACAAACACATCACTCGTTCACACATGCTTCCACTGAAAAACTTCACACCACAAAAGCTCAGCTACTGTTGGTCTGGCGTGAGACACTGGTAAGCAATGATAACGTTTCCAGATTTCCTATACCTAATTATTAAGCTTGTATGAACTTTTTCTCGCAATAAAGGCCTAGTAACATGTGAGCGCAGCTTCAACTTGTTTTCAGACAATCTTTTGTGGTAACTCATTGTTATTTCGTGACGCGGCAAGATGTGATGCTCTCAGTCGTGGACGTGCATGAGCTAAAATTTTGTATTTTTACTTCAATTTTTTCTATGCCTTTACACGTGCTATGTTACATTTCAATATTTATTTAACACAGACATAGCATTCTTTGGGTTAAGGCCCAAAGAACAAAGGAAATGAAAGCAATGAAGCAATGAAGCACACGAGAGAACAAAGGAAATGAAAGCAAGTATGAAAAAAATGTTCAAAACTTCTTGGTTGTTCTGACTACGTGCTCCACGTAGGATCCTAAGCAAGGATCATAAGCTCAAACGCAAGTTTGTTCAGATGTTGTTGAATAAGACGCACGACTTCTACAAAAATGCTGAAGTGGCCTCTATGTATCACCAACGGGCAAAGCACTTTCGGTTGTCACTCCCCGTTTGCGGGGATTCCAGGCTCCCCAAATTCCGCATATGCATGCGCATCTTGAAAGATGCAGTAGTAGCACGTCTGTGCAGTTGGTTTGCCTGATTAGAGGGGAGACGCGATGTGCGTCAATAGAAGCATTCGTCACACCTCCTCTTTAGCTCAAACAGCGCAGCCCGTGGCGATTCTCGCTTCGCTGCAATTGTAGCGAGGACACACCGCACATACAGAGCAGTGATTGGCACGTCTTATAGAAAAAAACTTATGCCAAAAAGATCAATGTCTATTCACCTAATGTGGGAATATATGAGGGCACAAGGTAGAAGGAAAAGCAGTTGACAGGAAAGATGCTGTCGAGTGCTTTTCCTACTACCTTGTGCCGTCATATAATTCCACGGTATGCAGCACCAACTGGCCCAGCATTCCACTTTATTGTCTACTGACCTGGTCGTTATTTATGCAAATGATACAAGTTAGCGCCATCTACCAGTCTCTTCTGTGTCTTTATTAGTTTCTTTCTAATGGTACAAGTTAGCGCCATCTACCGGTGCTAGATGATAGTCATGAGGGCAGATATTGACGACCACGTAACGATCACTACGGTAACAGTGTGGAATTCAGAAACTCAGTTAAACTTCTAAATGTGGTGGAACTAATTAGATGCTTTATATATACTGAGATTTTATGTTACTGCTTCTCTAAAATATGCCTTCATCAGCGAAATGAGGCAGCCCTGTTTGGAAAGCTGGTTTAGGAGTTCCAACCAGGTTGCACTGGTTATTGCGTATCGGCTTTGCGCTACATATGCTTTGCGCAATGCACATGTCAAAGGTTTCGGATGAAACAGCATTCACTCGATTTGGAAAGCTTAATTAGTAATGTGAGTATGAACGCTTACCGTACCTCAACGCGTACTATTCGTTAACAGCGTGGATGCTTTCTAATTAATCATTCTAATAAGCATATTTATTATTACAAGATGATATTTTGTGCCGATGATCTCGATTTCTGTTGTCTGACGTGCTACGTATGCCTACTTCTTTTTGGCTGCAGCGTGTCAAATTATGATATGAGCTACTGCCAAACATGCAATGACTACTCTTTTTCTTTAGTGCAGCTGTAACCACTCCCACAAATAGAAGCTTACGGCACATGGTTAAGCAGACGGGCCGGCATTTTAAAACAGTGATAGCGTCGCGTGCGCCGGTTCTTATGTGTTCACGACACACTGTGATAGCACGCTGTAGATGGCAGCCAGAGTGTGTGTATGTATTCCCTCTGTCATTTGTCGCCGTCGCGCCTCACTTCTCAAAATATGCAGAACCATTATCCTATCGATATATAGTCTTGCTACATGGGTGGTATGATCGTTGGAGAATGTTCGAGTGCAGATGTTGCTATCGGTGCCTGTTGTGGTGGCGGATGATGACCCACGGGCCGTTCTCAGGTGTCGACACCATCGCACGTGAATTTATCTGCATTTCGCCCTGTAAGCAGTAAAAAAAAGAAACAGGGTAAAACTGTCAGAACATTGTCTCGCTTGGCGGCAATATATTGAATTATTAAAGCAAGAGTATAATTTGGGTTATTTAGCGAGCATATCTTCGCTTGAAAGCTATCGCGGGAAAACTCCTGACATTACTCTAAACGACAACTATATAAAGATCTCACATTTACACAGCATAACAAGGGCGTCATCAAAATTGACGGCGTAGGTTTGATTTCGCACTTTACGGCCTCGTTGGGATTGCAACCAAGATATTGCGGGATACCACAGCCTTCGAGATCGCGTATTTCGCACAGCATTTTTTATTGTCGTGCATGCCGGCACTTTTCTAGCCTTTGCTTCTATGATAGCAGTGCTGGGCCTTTTGAAACCTGTTTTCCAGGTAGTTGGAAACTCGTCATATTGTAAATACTTTAGCGCGACATAGGAAGCCCTAGAAACACATCGCTCGTTCACACATGCTTCTACTGAAAAACTTCACTCACACCACAAAAGCTCAGCTACTGTTGGGTCTGGCGTGAGGCACTGGTAAGGAATGATAACGTTTCAAGATTTCCTATACCTAATTATTAAGCTTGTAAAAAACTTTTCTCGCAATAAAGGCCTAGTAACATGTTAGCGCAGCTCAAACTTGTTTTCAGACAATCTTTTGTGGTAACTCATTGTTATTTCGTCACGCGGCAAGATGTGATGCTCTCAGTCGTGGACGTGCATGAGCTAAAATTGTGTATTTTTATTTCAATTTTTCCTATGATTTTACAAGTGCTATGTCACATTTCAATATTTATTTAACACAGACATAGCATTCTTTGGGTTAAGGCACGGCTACACGAGAGAACAAAGGAAATGAAAGCAAGTATGAAAAAATGTTTAAACCTTCTTGGTAGTTCTGACTACGTGCTCTACGTACGGATCCTAAGCAAGGATCATAAGCTCAAACGCAAGTTTGTTCAGATGTTGTTGAATAAGACCCAATTCTTTTACAAAAAATTCTGAGACGGCCATTAGGTATGTCCAACGGGCAAAGCACTTTCGGTTGTCACTCCCCGTTTGCGGGGATTCCAGGCTCCCCATATTCCGCATACTCATGCACCTCTTGAAAGATGCAGTGTAGCACGTCTGTGAAGTTGATTTGCCTGATTAGAGGGGAGACGCGATGTGCGTCAATAGAAGCATTCGTCACACCTCCTCTTTAGCTCAAACATCGAAGCCCGTGGCGATTCTCGCTTCACTGCAATTGTAGCGAGGATGCAACGCGCATACAGAGCAGTGATTGGCACGTCTTATAGAAAAAAACTTATCGTGCCAAAGAGATCAATGTCTATTGACTTAATGTGGGAATATATGAGTGCACAAGGTAGAAGGAAAAGCAGTTGATAGGAAAGACGCTGTCAAGTGCTTCTCCTACTACCTTGTGCGGTCATATAATTCCACATTATGCAGCACCAACTGGCCCAGCATTCCACTTTATTGTCTACTGACCCGGTCGTTATCTATGCAAATGAATGGTACAGCTGTTGCGTGATACGTCACTTATGATAGCTGCGACTGCAGTCTGAACGCAGCCTTATTGAAGCGCTACTAAAGCTTATTACTGTTAGAAAGAGCCTGTTACGCAAAGCTTCCGTATAAAAATAAGGGAGGCAAAAATAAATAAACGGACGTGCCTCTTTGTATACCAGATCACGTATGAGAGCTACGGCATTAAAACAAGATAATGAGAAAAAGTGGGCAGAAGAGTGTCAATTAAAACTATTGTTCGAGCAAATTACTGTCAGGTCACCGCAGCTATCACTAAGGTTCTCATAGCAATAGGCTTGCCTATTTCATCTTTCAGCAGCGCTGTTTGTTTTCCTCTCAGAAAGATATATTTTGCCCGCTGTGCCACTGTAGCGGTTACGGAGCTCGGCTGCTGACCCGAAGGTAGCGCGTTCGATTTCAGACGGACGTGGCGGTCGCATTTTGGTGTAGCCTAAATGCTGTACAGCTTCACGTGCACTGTGCAACGTCAGTGAACATTAAAGACCACCAGGTGGTAAAATTTTCGGAGCCTTCTACTGAGGCTTGCCTCAAAACCACATCAGAGCTTGGCACGTAGAACTACAGATGGTAATATTAGGATATTTTTATCCACGCGTGGTCAGTACTTCTCATTCTAGTTTTTTTTTTGTGATTGTTGCTGCGTGTGTGTAGTGAGAAACGTGACAAAACCGAGCTTATCCGGGAAGTTCGAAGGATGTGCGAAGACCATTTGTATTTATTAGGCCTAATTTGTCAAGCACCAACGATGATGATGATAACTATGGCGATCGTGATGATGATGATAGAGATGAAGGAGAGAGAGAATCGTAGAGAAGGAAAGGTAGGGAGGCCAATCAGTCGAGGATAACTGGTTTGCTACCCTACACGTAGCAACGGGATGGGGGTGATGAAAAGAAGGAGAGAGACGGACGAAGGTGTTTAATAATGAGGAGGAGAAGAGGGAGGAGAGAAACAGAAGTATGAAGGAAAAAAAACCACGAAGCGTTGCTTCTCACCATTTGTGAAGGGCCGAGCTCCAGGCGGTACTGGAGCAGCAGCTTCGCCATCGCCAGTTTGAGAATGAGCGTGGCCATGCTTTTGCCGACGCAGTTTCGCGGACCCAAGCCGAAAGGCATATACGCCACTTTTATCAGGTGGGCTTCGTTTTCGGCGCCAAACCTGGAAGCGTCGGACATCAAAACGCTGAAGTTTATCGCTGAACGTTCCCGCCCTACGATTGGTCACACTCTAAATATACGTTGACGTCACTAAATATGATATGTGAATGTTGCTAACGTGTTTATTCTTTATGGACGCAAATTATGGGGTCTCTCGGTAAATTAGTCAAATAATATTCCCCGCCAGCAAGTTATTTTTGGTATCCACCATAATTTGTTGTCATTTATGCAACAATTATCACAAATAGTATTTTATGTGCTTTCCTTGGAATGATTATTCGTTAATTCCAATTATTCTGGCTAACAGAGCAAAACGAACTCTTAATGTTTCTTTCCGCTCATTCGTTCATACAGTGAGAGTTTCCTGACAGGTATCATGCCTTTCTGTAGTATGTGAAATACTTGATACGCATATTACGATTAACATGTTTGCATTACATGATACGCATATCATGATTATCATGTTCGCACCAGTCACATACCTTCGCCCTTCATTCACGTCACGTAACACCAAATTTGGTATATGTGAAGCTAGCGAATCGGCAGCGAGTGCATCATGAGTGCAACATGTAGTCATGTTCTAACATGACACGCATCTCATGACTATATTGTTTGCACTAGTCATATACCTTCGTCGTGCATTCAAGTCTCGTAATACCAAATTTGGTATATCTGAAGCTAGCGAAACGACCTCGAGTGCGCCATGAGTGTGGCGTGCAGTCATGACTCATGAATTACATGATATGGATGTCATGATTTTCACTTTAGGGTCTGTCACTTGTGTTCGCCATGCATTAATGTCATACCACACCGTTTTTCAACTTGTCATGTGAATGAAACCACCGCAAGAGCAGCAAGACCATGAAATGTAAATCATGACATTCATGACATACATATCATTATAATCATCCTATGGCTAGTCAGTTGGGGTCGTCATGCAGTCATTTTACGCCATACTAAATTTGGTATCGCTATTATTGCCGAAAGAGCCAGGAGAGCTTCAAGTCGTAGGCGGCTACATGGATGGATGGATGGATGGATGGATGGATGAATGGATGGATGGATGGATGGATGTGGATGGATGGATGGATGGATGGATGGATGGATGGATGGATGGATGGATGGACGGGTGTGGGATGGATGGATGGACGGACGGGCGGACGGACGGACCCTCTATGCAGACGACATCACACTGTGGACCACCCACGGTAGTGATGGCGACATAGAGGAAACCTTACAAACCGCCGCAAACATTACACAACAACGCGCACAAAGCATTGGTCTCTCCTGTTCCCCGGAAAAATCTGAGCTGCTTCTCATACGCCCTTCACCACATACTCTTCCCACTGCCCCCATCACCGTTACTCTGGACGGGCGCCCTATCCCAGAGGTCGACAAAATCCGAATCTTGGGCCTTCACATCTAAAATAACGGCCGTAACACTTTCACCATCCGGAAACTCAAGCGGGTGACGGATGCGCTCTCGCACCTCGTCCGCAGAGTTTCTGGAAAACACTATGGCATGAAGGAACACGATTTGTGTCGTCTCATTCATGCCTTCATACTGAGCCGCTTCCTTTATACAATCCCGTATCTCCGACTTCGACAAGAAGAAATAGCCACCCTGGATGCCATGCTTCGTAATGCCTACAAGGTGGCCTTACACCTCCCCCCTAACACACAGACCACTAAACTTCTTCAGCTTGGGCTCCATAACACCACACACGAACTCACTGAGGCCCACAGACAAGCGCAATACACTCGTTTAGCTCAGACTTTCACCGGACGCTACATACTTAACACCCTCAATATTCACATACCAGCAGCCGACCCCACACTTCTACCAATCCCCCGACCCATACACACACAGATAATAGTTAAACCTCTCCCAAGAAACACCCACGTTACCTACCATTCGGCCCGCCGCAAGGTCCGTGCAAAAGCTCTCCACAAATACCACGGTTCTGAAGAGGACGCCGTATGGGTGGATGCAGCTTGCACGGGCGACGACGCGGCAGTTGAAGTCGTTGATCGCACACTCCAACCCATTGCAACTCTCCGCCTTCCTCCTGCATCCACCCCGGAATCCTCGGAAGAAGCGGCGATCGCGCTTGCCCTCGCACACACTGATGCCCGGTACGTCCTTTCCGACTCGAAAACCGCGATCCTAAATTTCGCGCGAGGACGAGTCCACGAGAGCGCTTTCAGAATTCTCAGCTCGCCCACCAAAAACCCGGCCCGCCATGTGGAGCTGATCTGGGTGCCTGCGCACTCTGGAAATCCCGGCAACGAAGCCGCCAATGACCACGCCCGAGGTCTCATCAACCGGGCGGCGGCGGAATCGGAGTCGGGCTCTTCCAGGGAGCGCATGCATTCGTTCAACGAGATGACCCAGTCATATCGCGCCGAACGCCAGCTATACCCACCACCCCACCGATCCCTCAAAAATTTTCACCAAATATTATGGCGACGCCTTCAGACCCGCACCCTTCCCTCCCCCTATTTTCTTTCCCGCATTTACCCGGGAGCGTACGCCCCGTCCTGTGCTCAATGCACTCACCCCCACGCTACCCTTACCCACATTCTCATGGAATGCCCGGCGGACCCTCCCCCGCGGGGCCCGGAGCCACTGACCACATGGAAGGAATGGGAGACCTTGCTGTGCTCGACGGACCCGGCCAAGCAGAAAATCGCCACTGACCGGGCCGCCCACGTTATGGAACTGCATGAACTCATGAACGCATAGCGCAGCGGGGTCGTGCAGGGACCCTGGGACGTAAGTGCCCAAATCCCTTGGTCTAATAAAGTTTTACCTCCTCCTCCTCGCATTTAGGATTCAATATTGGCTAACACAAACATTACCTCTCCTCGAGATAGCATGGCCAGGGAAGTGATGGAAGCCTTTTATATCTCGAGAGAAGGTAGTGCTTCTGTTAGGCAATTCTCGTTCTCTTCCCTAGATGGTGAAATGAGTTTCTCGCGTGAACTATTATAATCTACAGAGTGTGATAATGCGATGATTATTGATGCGCCGTAATTACTGACTACGAACAAAAGTAAGGTTAGTTTCAAGTTCGCGCTCGTTCATGCTGCCATTTTCTTGTGATGTAAGCATGCAAGCATAGTTACCAACCAAGTATGAACCAACTCGCCCAGCAGCATGTTTTGTTGAACCATGATTCATGGCGGGGCGGGGTGCATCAGTTTCAAGACATCTGGATGTATTATTGAACATTATTTACCGAACTTAGGCAGTCTGCCTTGATGGAACAGTGCTTATGGTGATTGGCTGCTGACCCGAATGCCGTGGGTTTGATCCCGCTCGTGGCGGTCGCGTTTCGATGGAGGCACAATGCCAGATGCCCGCGTACTTTGCGATGAAGGGAAATGAACCTTCTTTGGTCCTGGAGAACTGGTCAGACGCGCCCTTAAGAGGGGTCATCAGTTGCGAAATGATGTGCGAAATTATGCGACTGGCTTGCGTTCGGCGCGCTCTAAAGGTTGTCGTCTCTTGCTTTTCTATGGGCGCCGCCTCCACTTAGCGTGGCCTCTACTGCACATGCTCTTTTCAGACTCCTGATTCGGGAAAGCACAAAGGTCACATTTCTCGCTGCCACGGCCGCATTTGCGAAAGAAGCACGCTGCTCACATACAAGGAAGCAAGAATTATGACAGTTGTTTGCGCTTGTCTTGTGTATACTTGTGTGTTTGTTTCGTGCGTCTTTTTGTTTGAACAGCGCTCTTTAAGTGTGGAACTGTGACAGTTGTTAGTCCGTGCTCGTCCTGTGTGGGCTCGTTTTGTGCGTGCTTTTTGCTTGGAGTGCGCACTGCAAGTTTAAAGCTGCTTGCGGCTCTTCGCGTGACTTCTCCATTCGTTGCTGTAGCATTCAATTTTTCGCCCTTTAGGCAAAATAATCGACAGTAAACGCTCAACTACCTGTGTGAAGAATCTTTTCACTTTCGTGTTATACCGATGACTAGAAAGAGGGATCAGCAACGTTTTTTTTATCTGAAACGTATAATAAATAAATAAGAAATACGGGGTCTACAGTCACAATGCTTGATATAAAATACATTATTTTAATGGGGCTGCCAAGACGGAATGATCTTATAACTTGGTTTTGGAAAATAAACAACCAAGGTCAACTCCATATGTTCTGGAAACAGTCACAAACGCAAGCGAACGTACAGTCGTTCACAAACGTTTTCCAACCACGTGAGCTTGTTGTGAAAAACCTCTTCCATCCGTTAATCGAAGGTTTGACTGTTTTCCCCCTAGGCATATTTTTTTACCACTATTTGACACCGGGTACTCTTCGACAGCCTCGTCTACGTGCTTCTGTCTCAATTAACATAGCTTATGAGTCGCAATTGTGAATAAATGATATCTACGCAACAACACACCATTCCAAGCACGCCAACCACTGTAAAAGTAGAAGTGTGATGCTCTTACCACAGCCTAGCGCATTGCGTGAGAGTAACGAACGTGGACGCGGAGGTACAAAACTTATATACCAATGATTAAGAAAAAAGCCTGCTTCCATAGAAGTATTTCGGGCTCTTACGTTTACACATTTTTCAACAAACTTCAGCTCGATGCACCTAGCGCAAATAACAAGTCAAAACAAACCACTTCTGTGCCTTCAACAATTAGGCAACTTGTTTTTTGAACACGCGTTGCGTGTAGCAGCGTGCCCGAGCTCATGTGTTTGCACGCTGTACAGAGCGGCGGACGATGGCAAGGTCGCAACGCCGCCCTCAAAGGAGTAGCGAGGGGCATGTACTACACCCGTTGCGAAGGTCGTAAAAAGGGAGCGCGCAGGTGCAGTCTGGCCCGGCTGTGATCATCAACGAATGGTTGTATTTCTCGCCGCGAGATGACGTTAAAAGAAACTGTGGGGTCTCTCGCTTCCGCTTGAACGCGTTGCCAGCAGCCGCCAGAGCGCGCAAGCCACGCGTTCTCGTGTTCCTTTTCATAAAAATTGACACTGTAAATCTCAA